CCTCAGAATGATTGTGTTAAGCTAGCACTATGTCCATCCCCCGTCCACCTTTACTTTTTCTTTACAATAAAGCTTTCAAATAAGTCATGGTTGTACGGCAGTGAAGCATTGGTGTTGAACACTGATGTCATGCTGTCGATGAGGATGATAATCATGACCAAGGCACTCAGGCGTCATCTTGCTATTGGTCTCCTTGATTACAACCTCCGTCGATGGCTGCTCGCCTGATTCAACTGTGAACAGAAATTTGAGTTCCGTCCACAACGGTCTACTGTCGGTTGTGTTTCACTACCGCCTGGCCTTTTATTCGAACATTTTTTGTCTAGAGTTTTCTACTGCGGTTGACCCAGCTGGCTTAGGCATGTCTGACTCCATATACTTTTCTTAACTATACTTTACGCCCGAATATATTTTTTGGTTTATCCTAACCAACTCGTCTCCAGTTTTGGTGCACAGGCCAGTAGGACCGGATACCACATGTATATCTCTTTTAGCGGAATACTTTCTGTTTTACCGGCTGTTCTGGTAGCTTGTATCAACGTTGGTTGCGCGTTGACACCTCTTTGGTTACGTTTGAAGCGTCATGGTTGTCTACGCTAAATTGGTAACAGGGGCAGCGTCTTTTCACACTACTCGGTTGATGTTGCTGCTAATTCAACCCACCAGCGGGTTTTGAAAATCCATGCGCTGTGTGTCACGGTCTAAAGCAGGATGACGTTTCTGACCATTCTACCGCATTCTGCTCTCTAGGCCCACCTGTTATCTTGTGACGGATTGCATCACATGCGAGATTCGTGTTTTCGGTACTAGATGATTGTTTTCACTAAGGTCCTCCCCCAACGGATATCATTTATTGGTGATGCCCATGAAACACGTTTGGCTACTGTGTTCCTTTCAGGTAGCCTGATAGCTGAGCATCGAATGGATGTTACAGCTATACAGTTTTTTGATTTTCCACGTACTACAATTGGTGACCTTTGGTATCAATTAGATAAAAGCTTTGAGTGTGTGAACACCAACATTTCAGAGGCCAGGTCTCAGGCGTACTTTCCTACGAATAAAGCGCTCCCCATTTGGACACGGAACTTCCTTCGACAGCTTATTTCTCTGAGTTTTCACAGAGCGGTGAGAAGTTTGGTAAAGGCCCGCCTGGCATTTTTAATGTGAGCATCTCTTTGTCCCTTGAACCATCATCAACAACAGTAACGTTATATCAGTGATCAACAATGATTCTTAGCTGCTGTACAACCGTAATTTATTTGAAAGCCTTATTGTGAAGAAGAGAATAACAATGGACGGGGAAGGGACTTTATGCAAGCCTACCACCATCATTCTGAGATGCCTCCAACCCCAGACACTCATTCAGGCAATCTGGATAGAAACTGTCAACAAGAATGATACTGACGTCGACTGGCAGTCATATCCTACAGTGTGTCCAACCAGACACAGTGAAGACCACACGATTCTCATCTTGAAAGGTGATTCGCACCGAAACCATCCAGACTTTTCGTGATTTCCTTCATATACCTATAATCTACACCTCTGCACTCTTCCAGATAAAACGCTAACCACCACTATGCTTGCGCCATCCTAAATTGGATACATAACACAGCATTCTGTTCAAATGAAAAAGTGTTTGGAATGCTCAATACCCTGCTTAACCAACACAGCTTCCGGTGCTGGACACATTCTTCCTTGGAAGTTCCCGTTGCCCGACTGCACAGTTGCTTTCCAATTGCCTTGTTACGGATTAGCCAACATCAATCCACGCAAGCTGTGGTTCTGGGGCGACGGTTGTCGAGGACCTGAAGATGTCTCAGTTCCGCTGCTTTCACAAGCAAATTTTCACAACCGTACAACAAAACAACTCGCACTGTAGCCTGGTACACGCATCCCTTGAGGTCCAGGGATACACCACTTTGAGGGCACAGGTGTATCAAATTGGCAAACACAACCTGAGCTTTTCAGGTTCGTGCATTGACATCATCTGCCACACTACAATCGGCACCGATACAACTTCCAAGATGAGTAAAACGCTCTACAACTTCCAGTGCCTTACCCTGGATTGTAAGTGGCGTGTTCAGTGACTGCATGTCTACGGGCATGACCTTACACTTTGTGGGTGCAAAGTGAATACCAAATGACTTTGGTCAGTTCATTCAAAAACAGCTGCGCCCTCTCTTCGAAGAGGAAGATGATGTAGTCCGTAATTTTAGATCAACAAGGTTTTTGTCATAGGGTTTTGAAGGCCTTCCAGAGATCATGAAATCGAATAGGAATGGAGGAATTTGGCATCTATGACGGACATTGCTTGGTGTACGGAAGCTTTTGGAGAGCTCTTTGCGTACTCTCGCACGCCCAAATGCCTGAGGATACAAAGAGCTTATCACATTAAAAAACTCCCCTGATGGACAAGAGTGTTAAGGAAAACAGACCGGTCAACTGAGTCGAATGAGCCTTGGAAATACAAGAATACTTAAATGGTGGGTCGTTTATACTTATGGCGTTGTTCCACTGTCTGACTCAATGTAAAGATTTGGTCAGTGCAATCCCTACCAGGCCGGAACCTTGCTTGGTGCTCTCGATTTACCATTTCACAAACCACCATAAGGTAACAAAACACAACTAACGCTAGCAGTCTCGTTACAACCGAGGTTAAGCTGATCCCCTTGTTGTTATCACACTCACTACGGGCCCGTTTTTTGAAAACGGACATTATCACCGACCCTCCCTAGTTGTGTGGGACAGTCTCCATTCCCCAAATGCAGGCAAGCAGATCAGACAAGCACTGACTGACAAGCTTCCTCCATCTTTGAACAATGCGGTTTGGAGGTCATCTGGACGAGAATCTCGGTGGCGCTTGAGACCGTAAGGGGCTCCACGTTCACGGTACAAGGTTTTACGTCGAATGTGGGCTTCAGATTAGTGGCAGATGATGGGCACGATAGCTGTTTGAAGTATTTGGCCCACCGGTAGGTGCGTTTCTGTTTATTCATCCTCTTTAATGTGTGCAGCGATTAAAGCGACTCGGCTGGTGGCATCACGCGAAGGCCGATATGGCATGAATTAATTTGTGTGTAAAATTCATGGTTGTACGTGGGCTGAGATACTGTCAGTGCACCCACACCTAGACAGTAGGACGATTAGGGTCATCAACCAAAGCCTTTGGCTCAAAAGCCTGACTGCAAGGCAGTGGTGTTTTGTGGGAAATACAAGTACATTAACAATTTTAGGAACAGATTGCCGCACATGTTATGACCCACAACCTGGAGGGCCAGGAGGCTGTGTTCGTCAGACCTCCAACCGTTGACCAATCTGGCATAAGAGACTGCGACTTTCGCACATAATCCATACAGTATAGCTCAATGGGTCACCGAGATACACAAACCTCCCCACCATGGTAGATTCCAGTCCCTTCGTGATGAAGGGCTGAGATACTGCCAGGATGCCCAAGCTTAAACAGGTGCAGACGGGATGCAGAGTTTGGGTTCAAAACACGGACCTCTTTATCAGTGAATTCGCGCTTTAACCACAGCTGTCTCAGCTCATCTGACTGTTTGTCTTACTGTTTAGTCCTCAATGTGACTATCTACACATGCCTTTGGATGTGCCCTAACATATTCTCTCCGTTCCAATTATCCGCCTTCCTCGATTTTTGTCTGTGAATGCTGTAGGATAATGTACCATGCGGTGCCATGGAGGCCGGATTGGATTTCTTATATTTAACGTTTATTCTCGCCATATGTTTATAGCTTTGTCGTTCCGGTTGATATCGTCAAGATGATGCCTCATCGGATTTGGCGCCTGAGACCGCTTCGTTTTATATATCAAGCAGCTCTTTCAACCCTTAACGTTCAACCTATAAAGAATCCTGAGATTAAATGCCGATCGGTAACGTTTACTCTTTATGTTGTTGAGATACATGTGCCTGCTAGATATTCATCAACAATAAGTGGCATGAGGCTGTCAGTGGAAAACACTTTCGGACTGTGAACCCAGCAACCGGAGATGTTATATGTGAAGTTTCATCCGGCGATAAAGTAAGTTTGTTTTCCGATTTTTGTAGAGTGAATGTAGTCGTTAGAATGTGTGTATGTCAAACCACAGCGTTCTACGGTTATATACTCGCCATTTCGGACACCGTGAGTAACCTGTCAGAGATCTTTACGAACATGTGAGTACACGCAAATAAGACAGTAGAATGTATTCAAACGGAACGCCGTCCTATTAAGCCCATATGCGTTGTGTGCAAGGTAATGAAGAGGGCTGTAAACCAAATGCTCCTGATTATCTCCTTACCAAAAACTTAATTTGCCCAGCTCAGTTTGGTTTCGCCACGCCTCACCTCAGCCCCTGAGAACAATACACTGCCGTGCATTTTTTCTCTGAATTCTTTCCAGATTTCGACATAACCTCCGTTGAGCTTCTAGCCTATCACAGGGAGCATAAAGGAACTAGGGGCTCGGTATCCAGATGGCTTTACGCCTTAACATTTAACCGGTTCACACCATTTTCACATCTTCAGCGGAGCCACTCAAGAATCACTGTGGGCCTTACACCATTCCTCACCTCTATGGCTCGCTTCGCGCTTTCCTTTTGCGCTAATGTAAAGCGCTACTTTGCGCTGAGTACCTAAAGATATGGTACTGTGATTCTCGTACAGGCCACTGATATCTGCGCTTCCTGGGCCATAACCAATCTCATCCTTGTAATCAAAATACACAGGTTTGTGAACATGTGTTTCCAATAGTGTCTCTCCTGGCAAATATAGCTAAAAAATATGGAAAAGGATTACGAAGGTACTGAAAGCCTTACAATAGGTCTAAAACAAGGGTACTCTGATTAGCTTGCTTGTTAAGGACTGTGATTCATGTGTTAGGGCAATCTCAAAGCCTTCACGTACATTATCTGGTGACAGAGAGAGGGGCCCTGGATGTTGTCAGTGCTATTTGGCGTAGGCCGTAAAAAGATTTTCTAGGTAACAGGAAATAATACCAGTCGTTTTTATGTATGTTGCACCCTTTTGATGCCTAGCTTCCATACCAACGGAACGAAGCATGAGGACCGGGACACTGCTAGGTTACTCAGGCCTAAATAGGAACAGTCGAGATTCTAAGGTTGGGTTCGAACCATGGACCTTTCGGTCCGTGAGCTGGCCGAGCCTTCTCGAGCTTGTTGGATGCACTGAAGAAGGCTTCAAATGGTGGCGAAAAGTTAGTGAGCAAATTACCAACCTCGGTGACAGTGGGTGCACAGCTGTCCAAATATAAGTTCCAGGAGGCCTATATCCAGCGAACACTGATATGGTACGATAAGTTGTCCACATCCATTGTCGGTCTTAGCAAACAGCTTTCTGTTTGCATTTCGGACTGTCAGACTGACAAAAGAAAATAATTGAATTTTTGTTATACAACCATTATCCCTCAATCGTTCGAGGCATCTACTTGGTTAGGCTTTCACCTTTGTACAATCTTTATCATCCATTATGGCCAACTTTATCTTCCCAGGTTGTCAACAGAATCATTTTTCTGAGTAGCACTATTCCAGAAGCTTTATTAGCTGCGTAAAATTGTATCAGCGCCTGTACACTAGTGTGATTAGAATTTTACTGTACGCCGGGCTATTTCGGCAATGATAGAGGGCATCAGCTGGATCAGTTTTGAATTATTTGAGTTTGTCATCCGGCACAAGCTACTTGACTGACTTGAGCATACAGGTCCTCGAACTAGGTTTTTATTTTTATTTGACAGTGCTTTTTTCGAAGAACACAAAGTTCATGCTCTAGGCAATTACTCCCAACAACCTGCTGCTAAGTATATCAGATGGGAAGTTGTGCAAGTACCCTTCTGGTTGATTTGGAGGAGTTGCACAGGCGTGAGTATCATGCATGTGATATATCTCTCGAGGGCTGACGCTGGTTACAAGGCCGCTTATTGTATTCCTTAACAGTTAATACCTCAAGAACCGGCTTACACATCGTCGTAAGTCAATCAGGTCGAGAGAGATGAGTTCGGGTCTGTTTCTACATCTGCTCAGTTTGGGGTAGACACATGTACATGTACGGTCCTCGATAAAATCAGTCTATCCGTTCGCATTTGTAAGTCTGGTAACAAAGCTGAAATGACTGTCAGTTGCTCATTATCTGTGAATTCATTGTTTGTTTTAAGTAGTGTAGATATTGTCATTTTAAGTAAATAAACAAAGTTCTGTGAACTTATGATTTTGATGGCCACTCTGCCCCATAAGGTAGCAGAAAAGCATCCGTATATCCACCCTGATCATTCCTTCTTTTTTTAACCGCGAAAAAAGACATCCTCCACATTTCTACGGCTATTCATTACAAAAACTTGGATTTTTGGATTGTTCGATGTTTGCCTTTGTAGGATGGTCCTCCGCTTCCCGAAGGGGACAGTTAAACTGGTCAAATCATTCCATTTTCTACATGCTTTATTTCACTTTTGTTAGACCCTTGGTAGGATACTGTAGTCCTGTGAGGCAACCATGATCTAAATGTAACGTAAGGATACTCGGAAATGTACAGTACAAAGATACGCTCTGAAAGATTCCTGCTGCGAATGTGTTATGCGTCCAAACTATTCTTTTTGCATATCATAGGCTTCGAGGTCTTTTCATGTGCACCTACACCCTCCTTTTCGCACTTCTCCACAACACCAACCTCCATAGTCACAGTTGCAAACAATTCCGGCACAGGTACACGATTTGGCTCATGATGAACTTGCTGTCCCCCGCAGTTATTTCAGTCTCGAATAGGCGCCCAGACGGGATGTGTCCCTCGCTGACTGTCTATGGGTGCGATATCGACCGCTCAGATGTGCACTGACATCACACGTAGGTGGCAAACTGCTGTTAAATGTAAGGTCAGTTTTTGGTGACCTGGGGCCAAGCAAGTAACTTCACATAGTCCGTAAATATTGAGTGCCGATTGAGGCCAAGCCATGGATACATATGAGGAAATTAGTTGGTCGGAAACCGAACCCTTTGAAACACAGTCATTAGCTACAGTCAACAATGACTTCTTTCAACTTCACGAGTATTCTGTTCCAAAGAACTTCTTTTCCGTGCGCAGAAGTGTTCGAAATGCTAGGCGCCTGCAGTTTGTGAAGTAAAGTTTTGTGATAGACGGAGTTGAAGAATTTCTCCAAGTCGGGATAACCAGTGTTATCACCCGTAACACCTGTATTCCGAGTTAGGGCAGTTGGAAGCCCCACCATTTGATAACTTCAATTGTCTAGGGTTACTGAGTTGCTCGTCCTCCATATATTTGCTTAGGGTTACTGGGTCGCTTGTTCATCATACACTTGAATATTCGTTTGTGACTTATTCATTTCATATCTCTGGACGGAAAAATGTGGAAAATGAGGAAAGAGTCGACGAATCCTACTCCAGGCCTTTTAAGAGCCGTTCAAACAGTTTGGTTATCCACTCAGCAAGACGTCAGTTAAGACATTGAGTTCGGCAACGAGCCGTTGGTTAGCAGTGTGACTAGCTAATAACTGCCTCGTGGGATTCGTATCATGTCAAGTTGCTCCTCGACCAACGAATTTTCCAGATCGAAGCTTCATTTATCGGACGACTTAATCACGCTGCTGACCCGCCGCGCGTGGCCGAACAGCCAAGTGTTCGAACTACTGCAAGGAGTTCATGTATTCGAAACTCGCTGGAGTTTTGTAAGATACGCACTGGCAGGCATGCTGTCACTTTCCACTGGACTTTTCAGCTAAATCTTGTCTGTTGTGATGCGATGGATTTGAATGGGTAGGGTTTTCCTGGGATATCGGTTAAGCCCCACTAGTGACATTTTGCTCTTGCACCAAACTCTGAGGTAGCTGGGATGGCTCGAGATGTCTGAGTGGTTAAGACGCAAACTTACTGACTAGAAGGACCTTTGTTTGAATCTGACCTCCACATCTCGATTTTCCTTCTTGGCTTGGGCGAGCTGGCAGTACCTCAGCTCTCATGCTCCCTTCAGGTGGCATGGAAGCTAGGTACCGAAAAGGTGCTACAACTGGTTTATTATTATTATTATTATGAATATGGCTATTAGTTATTCTCTTTAGGAGCACGGTCATTTTTACTATATCTTCACCTCTTTTAATCTATATCCAAGGTGACATTTGCTCATGGTCGCATGGCAGTTGACTACTAATGTATTGCGGTTAATGCTGACGAATCATCGATGAACCCTTCCGAATGACCTCTCGGTTCTTCAGCCTTACCAAACTATTGTTAATTCACATAGATGTTGCTGGTAGGACTTGTACAACAATCAAGTCACTAACCTCACTCTGGTGTTTCCTAAAATGTTCGAGTGGACGACTGGAGTACGTTGTTCCAACAGATTTGACCACCCTCTGGCTTTGAAGATTCAGCGGTGCGAACAAAGCCAAAGGTTGCTGGGTTTTCTGAAACAGTGGCCAGTTTTGCAACACAGTGCAGGATGTTTTGATCTAGGCTATTCACATACCCTGAAATTTACCTCGTTTCACCTTTTGTAATGAGGCCTGGTATGACTGGACAATGTTCAGTCATTGTAATGATGCTTTCTGCATATAAACTTAGTGTTTTATATTCGCAGCAAGTAAGTGAAATGCTAACATCCCACAACTTGTCTTACCAGTGTTTTGATAGAATGAACCTAACATCCCAAGAACGCTGGTTTATTCTGAAATTTTATCAGCAAACAACCGTGGCACTAGTGCCGCTGAAAACCTACGTTGCATCGTAATACAGGTATCTAATCGATTCGAAAATTTCGTTTTCTGCATATCATTGGCGGTTGTGGCCATCTCGTTTTTTCCTCAGGGCTAGTGGGTACCGATTTCTGGATCATTTCCTTACTGCATAGTTCACAATTCGGAAACACCCAATCTCTGAATTTCCAAGCATTTCCTGTTTATTATGTTACTGTGAAGTTCGTGCCTTGTAAGCCCAGTAGTAACAAAACACCATGAAAAGTGATCCCGGAAATTTCACAGATTATACAGTTACCTTCACTCCTAAAATGACGTTCACAAGTCATTAATCTGTCAACAACAAAGCCTCCTTTTCGCGCTGCCCATAGCAATTTCACATGGCTGTCATCTAGTACCGTAGTGTTGGTAAATTTTTGTGCCGACTTTCCATTCTCCACCCAAACAAGTGATGTTTTACAATTTTGTTATTGATTGTGCTGAGTGCGCATGCCACGGCATGATGTGTACCTGTTTACTAACTTTAGGCGTGAAGTACTCACGTATCGCCTGATACCGTTATCTTCATTTCTTCAGAGCTCTTTTCCTGTCAACTTGCTAGGCTGAAATCTTTAACTTTTTTGCAGGAGGACATCGATAAGGCAGTAGCAGCAGCCAAGAAAGCCTTCGAATTCGGTTCCGAATGGAGGCGAATGGATGCGTCAATGCGCGGTCGCCTACTGAATAAGCTTGCAGACTTGATAGAAAGGGATCGTGTCTATTTGGCCGTGAGTTCATTAAAAATGATCAGTCGATGGCGCCCTTTAACTAAAATCGCTGTTTTATTAGCGGAATCTACGGGTCTGTCATTGCCTGTGTGTGTGCGTGTATGGACATGCATTCCGTTTCCTACTTCTACTTTGGTGTCTACAGGGAACTCACCGTAAAGAGTAACCGAAATTATCCTTTTTGAAGTATGGTCTATTCGGTGATGAAATCTAGTTATCTCAGGGGGCGGCTATAGTCTCAGGGATTGTACCAAAAATCTGAATAAAGGATACAGTTAGTGGAAAGGTGACTGAAAATTCTTCCCCCTTTAACATCAATGAGAGTTTCTACATGATAAACTCCCCATGACTGTCACGGAGTATCTCTTCATAACCGACGTGAGTCGGAGTTCTACGCAGTTTGGTCCGCTGAAACCCGGATACTTAGGCAAGGTGGAAGCTTCTGGTCGGGACGATTTCCGACGTGTGTTCTTGAGATGAGTGAACTTCTACCTCTAGCATGTGAGCCCAGTTTATCTTCGTTTCAACTGAGATTTAATCCAGCAATTAAGGTCAGACGTAAGTATTCTGCCTGGAGAAGGAAACCTCAGGTCTTCAGTTCGAGCAGTCATCACTTGACGTACCATTCAACAACGGATCACATTACACGAACTAGGAAGTTGAATGCTGGTGGCGACATATCCTGTTCCATTACGGGTCAACCATAAATCGTGGTCGCATGTTGGAATCTTCTGTACTGCGCACTGCTAACGATTCGCCTTCCGACATGCAGGACATCTTTCACATGCAGGGTGAAATTTTCATATATCATCATTACCTACAAATTACAGGTTCCGCTTGTATTTCTTGTCTGAGGACATGCGGAATTTTTATGTACATGTTGGTCTTGGTAGGCTGTACACCTTGTCCTCGGATAAGCGGAACACCAAGAAGGGAACCTATCTTCAGGCTCTTCCTCCGTGGTAAACCGCATTTAAATGCTGAAGTAGCTGTGCGGCACAAAAAATAGTGTTTATAAGAATGTCTGTGGAAAATTACTGATGTTGATTGTTGCTACGTGGTACTTATAGCTAGAACGTGCTTGTCCGTAAATGGTTCCATTGAATGAAGATTGTGTTGAAACGGCACCAGCGCAAAAACCAAGTGTCTTTATATTCACTTCGACCGCCACAGGCAGTCCGATTTTCCGATGCATTGCTTTGTAAGGGCTAATCCAATAAATATTTTTGTCACATTTTCCCTGCGTGTAATTGTGTGCCTTCCAGGATGGGGACCGCGTGATCCTCACTGTGCCTGATTGGAGACACTACAAGATATGGCTGCCAACCGATGTCAGTGGCGTTCTTGTTGTCAGTTTCTGTCCAGATTGCCTGAGTGAA